TGGGTTGCTCTAAAACTGTTATAAATTTTAACCCAATATTCAAAAGTTGGGCTGCACTTAGCTTACCCTTTATAAATTAACCAAATGTTCAGTCGGTTCAGCTACCGGTACGGTTTTTATAATATTAGGCTTAATTATAATTTCAGAAATAAATAAATAAATCAAATTTGAATTTTTTATATTTTTATAAATTTTTTATTTTTTTTTATTTCTTTAAAACTTTCAACATGTACTACATGTGGTAAATTTTTATTGGACCACATAAAATAATAACAGAATGGTGGAATAAGGATAAGAACTAATAAAAATAAGGGTAAAATAAGTATTTATTCACTCAACTATTATTGTTTTTTTATTTTCATCATCATCTATTTTTTTAAATTATATTTAACGTTACGTTTTATTTTTACTTTAATCACTCATCATTAAAAAATAAACAAATATATTCATGTTGTAATTTTTATTTTTCAATGATAATATGTTACTATCTTATAATGACATGTCAACATCGTTAAATTTTTAATGACAGATAATCAAAATATAACAAAAACATAATATTAAGTGTGATTTAAAAAAAATAGTAACCAAATTAAATCATTAAAAGTAGATGGATTACTAAATAAAGAATGTGATTGAGAAGTGTATTTTAGAGAACACGTGTTAAAAGAGGAGGAATCATCAAACACAAGAGGCGGCGTAGTGACGCGTGAATTTGGCTGGGTAATACTATTTTAATTCATTATTGGTACCTGAATTTTTTATCAATCCAAATAATAAAATATAATAATTATTTAAAAATAATCTTAATTTTTTTGATATTAATATTTACATTTTTAAACATTCTTTAACGACTGTTAAGATTCTAACGTTATGATTTAGCTTTAACGGGAACAGCAACGCAATATTAAAATTTCCATTTCCAAACTTTTAAACCCATGCTCTTTTGAGATGTGCGATCCTCCTTGAGATCTGTATCATTTCACGGTGACAAATCTGACCACTCATTCCTATTAAACAAATATTTTTTCCATTCATCAAATATCATTAATTTTTTACTTTATTTTAGAGTATTTTAATTCAAAATATTTTAATATTTGACTAAAATATTTTATGTTAAAATAAAATCTTTTATTAATTAATAATTCATACATTTTATTAATATGATGTTTTCACATTACTTAACTATTAATGTGACATGTATTATATCACTCATAAAAATAACATAATATGTGTTACATCACTCATTCAGAAATGTGACATGTACTATATTACTCATAAAGAAAATTATATATATATATATATATATATTAAAAAAATAAATTTTGATAAATAAAACTATATTTAAATTATATTTAGATTGATATGAACTTAATGAATCAAGTCAATGGCTCACCCGGTCCATAAACAAGTTTCATTTAAAAGAATTCGTTGATAAAACAATAAACTTCGAAAACAAAAATCTAAATGTAACATTAACATTACTTGAGAAATTAGAGGTATGACCTATCATATATTCCTAAATTGTGTTTATATTATAATTTTACATTACATTACGTAAAACTTAAAATAACCAAAAATACAAAGTAATATAAAATTTAAAACCTTGCATATATAAATTGCTTTAAAGGGAAAAGAACACAAATCATCCTCTAACTAAAGGATATTGTTTTATCGAGTACTTCGACTATTAAAATTTATAAAATGATCATTCAATTATAAGATATTACTTTGTTGGGTCTCTCGACTATTAAAAATTATAAAATAGTCAATCGTGTATTCATATGTTTTAAATTCATTATTTTCTATTAAAAATCAGAGACTGTTTGAGTTAGTTGTTAACATGCTCATTAGGATATAATAAAAATATGATTCCAAAATTGTTTGAATTGTATATTTTGGACCGAGTCTCTGTTTTCATTACATTATCGAGCCAGTTCTTGAAACATTATGTCGTCGAACCAATGCTTGAAAGTAACAACGGTACCAATAAACATCATTAAAAATATGATTTTATCATATATCACGATCAAAAAACCATCAAATTTTTAATAAAAAATAACGAATTATAAACATATAAATAATTAAATGATCATTTTATAAATTTTAACAGTAAAAAATTTAATAAAATAACACTTTATAATTAAAGTAACACTTGTGTACTTTACCCTACTTTAAAAGCATATTACTTTTTCGAAGTTATTTTCTCAATATATAAAAAAGAAATATCAGTTTTTTCCTTTCAAGTAAAAGTTAACTATTAAAAATCCAAAAATTCGTATCTAGCTTTAAATATCACTATCAATTGGACGCGCCGGTTGAAAAACGTGTAGAGCGCGTTATAGTAATCTCCAAGAAACCACATATTCATTAGTGGAGAGCAGTTCCTTTGCAGCTTCTGCAAATTCATTGCAATATTATAAATTCCCATCGGTTTCCGTCATTTTCTCATCGTCCAAACAGAAAAAGGAAAAAGAAAAACCAAATAAAAAAGCCGACCCATAGCTTGAAACGATGGCATTCCGCCTTAGCAACAACCTTGTTGGAATCCTCAACTTCCTAACGTTCCTCCTCTCCATCCCCATCCTCAGTGCCGGCATCTGGCTCAGTCGAGAAGGCGTGACGGAATGCGAACGGTTTTTAGAAAAACCCGTTATCGTAATCGGAGTCTTCCTCATGTTGGTCTCACTCGCGGGACTAATCGGCGCGTGCTGTCGCGTCACTTGGCTTCTCTGGCTTTACCTAGTCGTCATGTTCCTCCTCATTGTGCTCGGCATCGTCTTCACGATCTTTGCTTTTGCGGTGACGAATAAAGGGGCCGGAGAAACTTTGTCCGGAAAGGTTACAAGGAATACCGACTTGGTGATTACTCAAACTGGTTACAGAAGAGAGTTACCAATGGAAGAACTGGAATAAGATCAAGAGCTGTTTGGCTGATAGTAAAGTTTGTACTGATTTCCACGATAAGTATCTGAATGTTTCTGTCACGGAGTTTTACCAGGAGCACTTGTCCTCCGTTCAGGTATGCTTTCCTCCCCTAGATCTGTGATTTTGTTTTAAATTTCTCTGCATATATTGAGATTTACGGACTGGGATTGGCTGTTATTGTGGATTCAATCCTTATTTTTAATGAAATTTGCAGTCGGGTTGCTGTAAGCCATCAAACGACTGTCAATTCAACTATGTCGGACCGACTAACTGGACAAGAGGGAGTGCCGTATCGGCAAACCCTGACTGCAATTTGTGGGATAATAATTGGACACTCTCTGCTCAACTGCGAGTCGTGCAGGCTGGTTCATAGATAATCTCAGGAGTTCGTGGAAGAAGGTGGCGGCCGTCAACATCGTCTTTCTCGTCTTCCTCATCGTCTACTCTGTTGGGTGCTGTGCTTTCAGGAACAATAGGAGAGAGAATTATTATCAGCAGCAGCAGCAGCCGTGGAAGCCATGATGCGGTGTTTGTTCTTGGTTGCCGATTTTGGATTTTATTTTTATTGTTATTTTCTGCATTGTGCTTTATTGTATAGCTTTGGATTCACTGTTCTTCACATTCTGGATATTGTATGCTTAATCGATTCTATTATTAGTTGTTATGGTTATCTTAATGTCTACATCACTTGTTAATTGTTGACAAGCAATGGTGTTTCCGGGCAAGCGAAGCTGGGTGGGTGTAGGGATGATCATTTTATCCGGATTTGATAGATTCCGACCTCCTCTGAAAAGGTCGATTTTTTATTTTAAAATTTCTTGTTTAAATCTGGTAGGGTTGAGTTTTTCTTACAAGGTTTAGTCGGATCGATCTCAAATTTATAGTGAAAATTTTGGTTTAACATATTATTATTATATTGTATATATTTAAAAATAATTATATAGATATTTTTTCAATTAGATATTTATTTTATTTAATAAAAATGATAAATATAGATTAGATGTTATAGTGATTTTAACTTAAAAAATCAAATCAGGTCAGACCCTTCTGAAATTCAGATGGAAACGATTATGGTTGAGAGATCTAAATTTGTATGGGTCAAAAATCTGACCCAACTTAAACTATGTCCATTTCCTAGGTTGGTGGGTTGGTCACCTGAATAAGAACTCAAACTTCAGAGTTATAATACTGAAAAGGAAAAGAAATTCTGTTTCCATTTCTAAAATGAGAGCAAGACATTCATTCATAACTAATATGTCACTGATATTATTCTATAATTAATTAATAAAATTTAAAAAATAAATTAGAATTAATATTTTCATTTTCTTAATGGATATATGTATGCAGTCATTTTCTTCACTTTAGAAAATAAAAGAACTAAAGGGAAAATATACGGGAGAGAAGGAAAAAAAAAATCAACCATAAAACGAAACTTCTTTAGGTTGTTCAGCCTACCTGTACAACATTTTGTACAAGTTATCTTTTTAAGGTTTAATTTGTCGTGATTATTTGTGGATTAAGATTTAGTGTAAATCTTTTAGTTTTACAATATTTTAGGATTGTTAGATAAATAAAATAGATAGATATATATATTATTTTTTGTTTTTTTCTAGTAAATACCCTTTTATTTCTTATTTTTAATTTTAACTATTTATTTCATTCATTCAACGGTCTTAAATATATATAAAACTTTTAGTTTTACACAAAATACAATTACAACATGCCCATTGACAGAGCCCATATAAGATGAGAGTGTCAAACGACACCTCAAAATTTCTAAAAGAAAAAAAAATCTCTAATTAAATTATATATATAATAAAAAAATGACACTACTTTTAAATTTGTTTTGACATACCTAAAGAAGAAATTGATCTTATATTTTTAATTAAATTTATACAATTTAATATAGATATTATAATTTAAATTTTTTCACTCTACCCCTAATCCTGCCCCATTAATTATATATTTTTATTTAAAAAATTCAAGCATTGCTACACCACCAAACTGTAAATGAAAGACCACTTCCAAAATATTACAGCAAAAGAAAGAAAAAGGCAGGTTCTTACATAAAAACATCAGGTTTTATCGCAAATCTCCACTTGTAGATTATTAATTTGAAGATTTAAAGAATAACCATTGAAACTATAGCTAAAGACGATGATGAAATATAAGTTGTCCAGTTGTGTAATCACACTCAAGAGGACCTGAAACGTACCATTCTCTCTCTGCTCATTCCACTTCTCAATCTACACTAATTTCAAGTAACTCTTCATTCATGATCATCCATCTAAATTCTCCAACTTTATGAAACTGTTCGTGAACTAATAAGATGTTCAAGTATAAACATTTTTCATATTTTAGCCCCAATGTTCGATGAAGTAATCACTTTAACTCTTATTACTTTTTGGATCATTTTAGCCTATAATGTTTCATATTGGGGACAAAAAAACTCCTCCGTTAATGAAAATTATTAGTTAACAAACCGTCAACGCTCCAAAATAGAGATATTTTTGTCATAAAATAAAATGTTGAGATTAAAATGTTCTAAAGAATAAAAACTAAAGTGACCATCTAATCAATTGTCTTAAAATGACTAAATGTCGAGAACAAAATACTAAAAAAAAGAATAGAAGCTAAAATAACTATTTAGTTTAACGTTAGTACATTTTTTAACATTATGCCATTTGATAAAAACCATCATCAATATCAATCAGAATATAACATTCCACAAGAAGACAAACTCTCATTTACTTATGATTAAGAAAACTAGGCATACTCACCCATTCACCAGGACAAAGAGACCGGTAGTATTTGGCAAATCTCTCGCATTGGTTAGACCCTTTACCCTTAGCAGCCAAGCACCTGTCATTGTTTTTAAAGTGAAAGATACAATTGATAGTTTTCTTGTAAGCAGAACCTGCAAAATTTACAAGCAGTGTGTACCTGTTAAACTCGATGAATCGACTGAAACAATGCCTTGTTTGATTTGTTGTAGGGAAACGGAAATCGGCTGGGGCTGTTTTCAGTTCAATCTGGGACAACAAGGAAAAGATTGTGAGTGTATGTGAGAACTAATAGATGATAATTCCATGCGAAACTGGAATGAACCGCTTATAGCCGACAAAAAAACTTGTTCTCAACAACTACGTATAAGAATTATACACGGGAAATAGGATACCAAGACACATACAATAAAGGCAAAATTGCGAGTTAAAAATCCCAGAAAATGGTATCTGAAAACTATCATTGCATAATCGAAGTGACATCTGATTCATTAAACTGTATGTGTACAATGATGAGAGCTTAGTTGGGAGCTTGAGAAGTTAGAAAATAATGAATAAGTTGGAGATTTATGAAGGAAATTGTTAATATTTTCTAAAAAGAAGAAACTTTAAAATTGTTTCTGTTTTCAAGTTTGGTGCAAAAGAATGGAAGAGAAAGGGGATACAGAAGGTTACCTGGTCTGCCATGACTGATCCTATCAACCAGCAAAGAAACAAAAGCAGGTTTTGAATATTAAAAACTAAAATCATCCCATTTATCTCCTTTTACCAATAACAACACCCCACATTCTATGCAAAAGAATAGGTCCAATTCTGATTTTATTTACCCCCTCAAATTTAGGAAATTAAATCTTCGGTAAACTACACGTTTAATGCACCCAACTATTACTTTCGTTCCGTTTTGATAAATCAACTATTTTATATTTTCAATCATATCTAATTTATGTTTGATTTCATTTTGATCACTCGTTAAAAATTTAATAGACTGTTGACGTGACATTTTTTTATTTTTAATGATGACATGACATTATCTTATGGTGACATGTAAGTAGCACAATTAATTTTTTTACTGTGGATGATCAAAATAAAACATGAACGTAACATTAGATATGATTTTGAAACAAAAAGTAATTAGGTGACCAAAATGAAACAAAAGTGATACCCAGGATACTAAATGTATAGTTTACCCTAAAATATTGATTGTTTATCTTTGTAATACTTTTAATAGGCTTAAAGTGATTTATGGATTGTTGTTATTTATAAAAATTTATTTTTTATAAAAATATATAATTTTAATTTATTGATTGATTAGGACAAATTATTATATAGATTTATAATTATGTTTTAATAAGTTTAAAGTGATTTGTTGTTTTTATTAAAAGGATTTTTATTCTGATAATTGAATTTAAATCATTTTTATTGATCATAAATATTTAGTTAAATTTAATAAATCATTAATTTTATAAATTAATCACTTCTATTAATGTTGTTAATAATTTTTTTATGAAAAAAACTACCTGAATATATTTTATCATCTTATTAACATAATACTTGGTTGGGATTTTAACAAAACAGTTTCTTTTTTAATTTTATTTATTTTTTGAAAAAATTTATTTATTGATTCTAATAAATTCAAAAATTAAATCCAATTAGTTTAAATCAAAATTTTATAATTGAGGATACTTGATGAGTTAGATTATTGAATTAATTTTTTATTTATCAGTTCGAGATAAATATAAGATAATATCTATTCAAATAATTAACCATTGACATTAAACGTTTATATGTTTATATAAGTAATGTTCGAATCTGAAATTTCAAAAAATAATAATAATTCATTGTTTGGTTCGTTGTAGAAGAAAATGCGTGTTTTTATGCTCCTCGTGAATATAAGCAATAAACACAGACCGGAGTAGTGATGGACGCTGGGTCCACCATGGGTAATGGGTCGTCAACGTTTAGACAGATGTGGTAAACCCACTTTAAGAAGTTGATATTCCACATCATGATTCCACTTGTATTTCTTTACACAAACAAATCCTTCCTTTAACACCCTTCTAGTATTTCTAATGCTCAACTGCTATAAATGGCTGAACTTGGTCTCTCTCAAGTCCCATAATCAACCCTAGTGAGAGTTCAGATTAGTATTGAAGATGTCTTCTTTCAGGTTTACAGCTCTTATGATTGCTCTACTCGTTAGCATGTCAGTTATTGTATCTGAAAGCCGGGTGGCGAGAAAAGACCTTGGACTTGATCTTGGAGGCATAGGAATTGGGATTGGAGCAGGCATAGGCGTTGGCTTGGGTGGTGGATCAGGATCAGGAGCCGGGGCTGGTTCGGGTTCAGGTTCTGGGGGTTCAAGTTCAAGCTCTTCATCAAGCTCATCCTCTTCTTCATCCAGTTCATCTGGTGGTGCAGATTCTCGAGCTGTTTCATCTGCTGGTTCCTATGCTGGCTCTCGATCTGGCTCTGGTGCAGGTTCATCTGCTGGCTCCCGGGCTGGGTCAGGACGAGGCCGTGGCAACTAATCAAGCATTCCTAGCTGAAAAATAGTGTGCATGAATAAATGTGTCGATGAGTAATTGTGTGTTGATGTAAGCTAGTGGCAATTATAATGGAGTCCAAATAGATGTTCAAGTTTTTATTACGTTACTTGGATTTAAATAGTGGTATGTTATAATAATAGCATTTGTTATATTGTTGTAACGATATCATCATATATTATTATTATATGACCGTGATACTCACAATCATTGTAATTATATTTGTTATGTTTACAATCGTGATAAATGTAACTCAATCGAGAATACGACTAAAACCACAATTTAAATATATGTTAAGTTGTTTTTGTATGCAATATATATTTATTATTTAATACTAAGCAGAATTCTAAAAAAAGTTTAAAAAAATTATTGAGTGACTTTAGTTATTGAAATGAGTGTTGTTCTCCCTTGAGGTCATAGCTTCGGGCAACTGCGTTTGCAGGTTGTGTGTATGTTGTCAACGATTAAGAAAAATTATGAAAAAAATGCTAACTTGTAATCTCCACACACTATATAAAAATAGTTAAATTTAAAATTATTTTATGTATAGATTGTTTAATATTCCACGTGTATTCTTTTGTTAACTAAATATTATTAATTTAAAATATTATTTTTCTTACTAACGGAATAAATTTGTTATGATAAAATAGCAATGTTTGATGCTGAAATAACTTTTATGATCACTAATTTGTATCATCGAACGGATCCCTACCGGCGTTCATCTTTGAAGGATCCTTGCTGCCTTCGTTTTAAATCTGATAAAGGGAAACCAACATGCATATGATGTTGTCGAATTAGAATTAAAACATTGGAATTCATAATTTTGAAATTGAGAGCTCTTGTCCAAATTAATAAAAGGTGAATTACGTGATCTCTTTCGAGAACTATTGACTTTAATGCCGTATATCCCTCCCTTCGAAGACAGCTAAAAAGATATGCATAGATCCCTCGCTGCTCGATTGATGCTACCCTTCGCAGACCTTTATTTTGAGCTAAAAAGATATGTATAGATCCCTCACTGATCGATTGACGCTATGAATACTCATGATGCCCCTAATTGAGATGCTTCCACCAGTACATCGAGATAAAGAAATTGTATTAATTTTGTAGCTCTCCACCTAAATCAATAAAAAATGAACCATCCTAATTTCTTCTTTGCTATAGAGAGGGTTCTCTCTACAAGTAAATGGGATATGTCTCTAGACGAGATGCTCGTATTGAGACATCCACTAGTGAGATGGTAGGTAACTCTCTATCCAAATCAATAAAGGGTAATCTGTCAATGCCCTTAATATTATGTTGTCTTTGTTTGTACAAACGAAGATGCCCTTAGGACACCCTTATCGCTAGATCAATGCCAAGGAGATCATAGGGATACCTCAACTTGAGATGCAACCACCGGTTCAACGAAGTTGACCCTAAGTTGGATGTCTCACTATGATAAGTTGTAATATATGATTCATAGAGTTCTAAATGTGTTTTTCTAGTCTTCAATTCACCCTATTTACCTAAATAAAAGCACATGGTGAGCTAACTAGCAGTTCGCTAAAAAGGAAATACAAACGAAAGGGTTACGCCACCAGCCAAATAATTGAACAAGGTACCCGAGACAAAAGAATTGCAGTCTATAGTGGATGTTCACTCATGCACTATGTTAAGTGGATCTCAAATGGGCTGGTAAGCTGCCTGGGAAAGTACTTCCTTTTCTCATCCGGCTTCTCCCCGACAAATCTTATTGCTATTTCCATTTTCATTACTATAACCAAATCTTTATAACATTAAAATAATCGAAATCTTTAGACAAAATTCTCCACTATACACAACTATAGTGCACACGTTTATTTTCTGAGTAAAGTTTTTTATACCTTCTCTGCAGATCACGTTAGACTGTACTAAAGTTCTTTAAATTTTTTAAAGTTTAATATCCTTCAATCAATTATGATCTTATACTTGTAGTCTCACGTGATCTATTGACAATCCGATCTATTCATCCTGCCGATTTACAAATAACCATCATGGCCCCACACATGACAACAACACTAAATATCAATATATAAATCCATATGAAGGTAGAAAGAGGGCTTATTCTCTCTTGATCTTCATTTCCGCTCTCTCTATATTCTCTTTTATCTCTTTATCGTCAATATGACCGACCAAACAATGTTCAACTATCGACTCCGACTCCCACACAAACTAGAAGGGTCGAACCGTCAACAGTCAATATAACTACCTTTCCCCATCAACAATTGGTGTGGTGACGTGGAACACCTCTTGACATAAAAGAATCAAAGGAGATGAAATCTCTCATCTCGTACTCAAACATCTTTGTAAGTCCACAACCTGTCAATGTAAAACTCCAAACCGATCATGGAATGATGGGCCTATACTACATCGAGTTGTCAAAGCACTCGTCAAAATTTTTGAATCTTTTTTTTTAAATCAAACATGATTTATAACTGATAAAGATAAAACAGTTTAAGTAGTTTATACAAAATGGAGCTCCAGACTATTTAATACAAAACCATATAAAATATCCAAATAGAGTTTACAAACCAAATCACAGTAATAAGGGTCATATAAAAGTATATGCCCACTAAGAGATTGATATTGTACACTGGTAATCCAACGGTATTGGTAATCTTGTGGTGATGATGCTCCTCAATGATCTAATCTATTGACCTGAGAATGGAAATATCCGAACATAGAACTAACAAAGCTCAGTGGTACACATCTACTCTACTATCCTACTTGCAGTTCATAAACATAAGCATGCTAGATAGTATAAACAGAGAGGCATGATTATGAGCATACTAGCATCAATGGAACATTGTTTGCATCTATTAACGTCCGCATATTAGAAATCATACACATTACAATCATCGACTATCACAATAATCATTACTTACACATATATATTTTTACACAAGATAACACAATACTACAATTAGCATCCAATATCACATAGCACCGATTGCTGGTATAGGGATCCCGGTAACACATATCACTAGAAATAGTCATTGTCACCTGAGTAAATGTGACTTCCCATTTTGACATAGCATTGAACATATTAGTAGAAATTCCGTAACAGATAGTGTCAGTACAATTTTCACATAATTCTCAAGATGAGGTTGTCTGATTTCACATAACATTGGACTAAATATTCATACACAATATGATTCACAATCAAGCTCAAAAGCATCACAATCATATTATCCATACACATCACACATGAAGGACTGTATCACAAGTATTATTTCAAAACGATTGAGTGGAACATTTCCTCACTTCAAAGAATGGATTAAGCGAGGTTTTTAAGCATTTGAAAGCTTATGGCTTTAGGTTGATCATTTCACCTTCACGCAACATTACATTAGGCCTTGGGGTGACTTACTTAACTTTTTCCCTTTTCCCTTTTCCCTTTTCCCTTTTCCCTTTTCCCTTTTCCCTTTTCCCTTTTCGGTACTTGAGGATTTGACTACATTTCTTTAGCCTTAGGACACCTTAGTTTAAATTTGTTTAATTGGGCCTTATGTAGGCCCCTACATTTGTATCAGACCCACCCTTCAGCTCATAATTGGATTTAAAGCCAACTAATGTCTTTCGAAATGGTACCAGTACCAAGCACTGGGTGAGGATGGTATTTGTTCAAAATTTTATTGACTAATTGAAAATGTACACACCCCTTCAGACTCACTAAAGCACTCCCTTCTTTTTCTTAGAGTCCCCTTCTCCTACCCTAAGTATAAGTAGGATTAAATTTAGAATTTGTATTAAAAAATTAATATTAATGTTGAAAGAATATAACAAATTTAATGGATCCAATGGACTTGATAAATAAAATGAGCCTAAAAATTAGATATCAGGCTTAAATCTTTTAGTAGGTCCACCATCCAATCCAAATTAAATCATATTGGTTTATTGGAATTTTTTTAGGAGTAGGCTTAATAGTTTAAAATCCTTGCATTATTATTAGATTGAGAGATGAAGTCATTATATCAAATCAAAAGTGACAAAGTATGATTAATAATAAAATTGAGAGGAGTAATGAAATTAAACTAAAATTAAGAAGGTTAAATAAGTATTTTCTTCAAGTAATTTTTTTATTAAAAATTTATGGGGTGTGATCCTCTTGGACGAAGCATAGCTTCATCCCTAATTATGTTATTATATTAATTTGTTATTTTTTATTAAAAATAATATGTGGTATAAAAAATTGTTACGTGCAATAAAAATTAAAATTATGAAAGTGTAAAAGTATTTCCAAAATGCATGTTCTGAATTTAAATTTTATTGTTGAAGTTGTAAAATCATTAAAAAATAAAAGGGACTAAAGAAAAAAAATTGGATTTTGTCAATTTTTTAATGAAAAATATAGACTAACTTGAGACCGTGATGATAATATAAGAGTCAAACTGATAAATAAATTATAAAATAATTTTTAAGATGCATGAACCACTTACCTTAGTGGTTAAAGGAATAGTTTTGTTATCTTAGACGTCACAGGTTTGAACATCAGTGATAAGGGTGATGAGCGTTCATTCTCAAATGATAGAGAGTACTTAGAATATAAAGTACTTTGTAATTACTTTTAGCTTAATAATAATAATAATATAATAATACATAACGCCTAAGATTAGGAATTTAGGATAGAATAATGAATTGTGAAAATCAAAAAATTAAATTGAATTGTGTGATTTAATTTACTTTGAGTTTTTCATTTGTAGTTAAGTTTTGGTTCGTTTTAAATATATAATTTCATAATTTGATTTAGTTCAGTTTTTTTTCTTATGGAATTAGTTTGTTTCAAATAAAATCGAATTAAAAAATGATCCAAATCAAATTATTTTGAATTTGTTATAAGAGAAACTTAAATAAATAAACTTTTAAAACTAAATATTATTTTAACTTGTAATTTTGAACCCAATTTTTGAAGTTTGTTGTTTGATGTTGAGTTTGAAAAATAGATAACAATTAAAAATCATAAAACTGAATTAATTGAA